TAAAGTCACAATGTATCATAGTTTTAATGTGGGTTTTTATGCACGTTAATATCTAATGTTAGAAACGAAACCATTAGAATTAAATTAAACAAAGAAAACATAAATTAAGTTTAATTAACGATATTCTTAGGTAAAACCATAGATTCAAAATTGCAATGGTATCCTCATATTTCTCTGCTAGCTGGTAAACTTAGTTCAGCAGCCTATGTCATACGTAAAATAAGACAACTTACTGGTGTAGCTACTGCAAGAACTGTATACTTTAGTTACTTTGATAGTATTGTATCCCATGGTATTATTCTCTGGGAAACAGCAGCCGATATTGAAACTATATTTATCTTGCAAAAATGAGCTATAAGGGCTAGTTATCAACTTAGTTGTAGAACATCTATTAGAGAAAAATTTAAAGAAATCGGGATTTTCACTATTGCTTCACAATTCATTTATAATTGTATACTTTTTGTTCGAAGCAATATTAAGTATTATCTCAAACACAGTGACATATGTTCTTTTAATACAAGGAATAGAAATATACTTAAGATACCAGCTTACAGGTTACAGAAGGTTCATAAATCATTTATGGGTCAAGGTTTACATTTCTATATTAAGATTCCTAATTATATGACTAGTATTCTTGATTTGCCTCTTCATAAATTTAAAATACACATTAAGAATTGCTTAATTAAGAAAGGATATTATACTGTGAATCAACAATTAAATGATAAAACGGCCTGGTTGTAATGTTACCTGTAGATAATTTTTCAAAAGTTCTATTAAAACTAGGGCCTAAGAAAGAGTTTTGAAGAGAACCTTGCACTTACTCCCTTTCATATACTTGTTCAATTTGTTTTGAAGATAGTTTCTTGCTATTTGGGACTTTGATTATTGGTATTAAATTCATTGAATGTCTATTGTTACATATTTGACATTATTTGATGGAAGTTGACCTCAACACATGTTTGCAAGTTTGATGTCAACTTTTAATTGGACGACACTATATGAAATAAAACAGGGAGAAAAAAACAGCCCTTGTGCTGTGTTTCTTGCCCGTTCTTCTCAGTACAAGGTCTCCCGCCGTAGATTTGCGAACCGATGGTGTAGCTTTTCGACATTCACAAGTACTTTTAAAAGCTTAGACTGAATAAACGATATTGAATTTTGAATTTTTATGTAGAAGCTCCAGAAGCTCATGATTCCACGCGTGGTCTATTATGGATGCAGACTTTGATTCATAAATTTTCAGACTGTTATAAAATCCATATTTCTTTACTCGTATTTAGGATGGGTTAGGTGCATACTGGTCCCAGAACTCGGAGCTGAACTCGTCCTAGAGACCAGATTACGATTATGAGAGAAAATAATTCTAGACTGGTACCTGGCCCAGGGCCCAACGATTCTAGGAAATGTTGTTGATTGTATACCAACATTTCTTATAATAGTAATCTGGTCAATGTGGGTATGGGTATTGGATTGGCTAATAAATTAGGAATGCACAGAGTAATTAAAGCTTTATTTGAATAGAACCACTTTGATTATGATTATTTCACAAATTCAGATAACGCCTATTAATTTAGACTAAGCAATCAAGGGGGAATTTGGGAGGCTTATTTAATTTGAATATTTGCAAGTAACTTATGATATGGTCTGGTTCCGAGATGTGTTCTTACTTGAAGTTAGACCTATATTTCTTAAGCCGTTGAGTTAAACAGTGCGTCGCTACATGCGATCTATTGACCTTTCAGCCATTACTGGGACACATAACTCACAGATAACAAGATTCTTGTAACTTGTTGTTGTATGTTGATTCTGTGCATTTTCTTAAAGCTAGACTTTGTACTGTAGGTACATTAATTACGGCTTGATTTTACTTACATTTATTACTAAACTAGTATCCTTACCGTCAGCGTTGCCAGTATTTTTTTGCCAAGTCGGGATTTAGGAACTTTTTGAGTGAATAAAGCGGGATTCTTTTGTTGAAAGCGGGACATAGTAAAAAAAACGTATATAATCAAAAGCTATTAAATATTAATCTTCATTACGCGCCGGGCAGGCGGCCAGTCCACACTTGTCTGTGCTACCCGCCCGCGCTTTCTCAGTATGCTACACGCACGGACGTATTATTCCCGAAAAGCGGGATTGAGTCCCGCCAAGATCGGGACGTCTGGCAACGCTGTGTTTTTTTTTGTTTATCCTAGGCAGGAGGCGGGTCCTATTGGATACCCTACAGCCAGCTACAGGGTTATGTCAGACTCTTACTGACTAAAATACACCCGTTGGGGCTGCCTCTGGCCGGGAAGGCCTTTAAGGCTTCATCGGATGCGATTGTCCCTTGAGAAGGACGGACCAGGGGAGGGAGTTGTATCGGTTTTTCCCGGGAGTGGAGGCCCGACTCAAGGCCACTTGCTGATAGGACATGGCTGTTTCAGGGGTAGGCTTCACCGAATGAAGCTCGCGGAGGTGGGGTCGTGCTACTGTGGGGAGGGAGAAGTAGAGGACGCATACCACGCTCTGTGGGAGTGTAAGCTCTACGGGGAGGAGGGAACTTCTGGACAGTGTGAAAGTGCTCGAGGTTGGCCCGGTCTACTATTGCGACCTTGTGGGATCGGAGGCGAACTTCAGGCAGCTGCGGGATTTCGCGCGTAGATGGCACAGGATTCGGAGTGGACTCGAGAGGTGAAGAAAGAAGAGAGGACCGTACAATTTGGAGCCAGCGATACCACTTCAGAGTGGGCACGGGACGACTGGGATTGCGATGAAGGCGTTTCGTGTACGTCCGCCCAAGAAAGGGGAGAGGGACCATAGGGACAAGGAGATAGATAAAGAATAATTTGTAGGGAGTCAAGAAAGTACGCGCGGTGGAGGCCATTCCGCGCGTATCTCCCGCTGCTTCGGCCTGCATAACCAAGAAGGTTCGCCAGGCCATGGGTGGTTGGTGGGATTTATCCCTTGAGAAGGGGACGATGCAGCGCTGCCTGGTTAAAAAACTAGCACATATGCGCTTCTTGGACGAGCGGCTCGCTATTGGAGCACGCCCGTATCGGCACGGTAACCATGGTATTACCGTGGTATTATCGGTTTGATGAGCTGCGGAAGGCCGCTCGCAACAGGGTGGGCATCACAACAGCCAGAGGGGCTGCTGTCGGCCGTGGTCTACTAAGGAACGGGAATGCGGTCGTCGCTATTACATTTAACTGAGAGGAAACTCCGTTCCGACTTAAACAAGCCGTTAAGAGTACATGCGTGTTCAAGACTTATATAGTTGTTGGCCAGCATATTGCCACCAGCTTCTTTTTCTAGTGCTTTATAGCCAGGGTGGTCAGTTAATATTTGTGTTGTGTCACAGCTATTCCAAAGGTGAGAACAGTCCGTCATTCATGATCGAACTCGAGCTTGACATAGGTCGCGGCACGTAATTCTAGCGCTGAACAAAACGCAGAGGGGATAGCTGCGCATGGGAACCCACCCGCGCACCTCGTTTTCCCCCCAACACATCTTAATTTTTATTTCTGCGCAATAACGGTCAGCGCTAGGGTTTAGAGAGGAGCTCGATGGCGCAGGTGGTTAGCGCGTTCGGCTGCGATCGTTGAAGTTAAGCAATTTTCGCAGTGGTCGGTCATGGGATGGGTGACCAAAAATTTTCTATCTCGAGTTCCTTCGTGCTTCGGAAGGCACGTTAAGCCGTTGGTCCCGGCTGCATCTACAGTCGTTAGCACCCGTCAATCCGCACTGGGCCCGCGTGGTGGGTCATGGCCCAATCTCCCTATTCCATCCATAGGAAAGGCCTGTGCCGCAGCAGTGGGGACATTAATAGGCTGATAATGCTAGGGTTTCGTGCCGCGACTTATAGGTAAGTAGTTAGTGATAATTTTTGGCAACGTGCACTCTATCGCGATAGATATAAGAGTTATCTCCTTTATAATTGAGACTTGTAGTTATTAAGCAATTGACAATGGAATCAGATGACATTTATGCTTAATTTGAGATGTAAGTGGTTTTATACAAATTAGGTTCCTGATATACATAATTGTTTATTAATTAAATTCTTTTGTAATTTTTATCTTTAAGACTGTATATTGCGATACCCTGACAGTGTTCATGTTAGGTACTATAAGCATTAAATAAAACTAGTTTTTACGGGTTAATGCACGAAACTTTATTTATTTATTGACGTTTCGTAGCCTTTACAGGCTTCGTCGTCAGAATAAAACTTTTATTCAATTTGTCGAGCTACCTTCGAGACTTTTATTGAGCGTTTGGTTATTTCATTGTTCGATTTTTAAGTTTTATTGTCTATGTATGAATTTATTATTTAATTTACTTAATAAAGTATTTTATTTAAAATTCTTTTTTGTAATTTTGAGTTTATTTATTTGACCCTAACTACCGTAAACTACCACCGGTTCCAAAATTGGGAGACCTTTCTGAGAAGAACCGGCGAAACAAACTCAAGAGAGGCTTTCTATCTCCTTCTTATGTTAAATTATGCAAACAAAAAGAACTAATAGTATCTGATGGTCTTGCAGTGTGTGCTCGGGGTTGGGATTTTATCTCCTGTATAATAGGTTCCCAAGCTGGTGGTATATACCAACCATCTTCCCTATTGAAATTTGGATATTTTTTAATCTCAATAGCCTCGCGCATCATTCGAGGAACGAACCGCCGCTCAGCTGCAAGGATCTGTGGTCTATCAAATCTAATGTAGTGGGTAGCTCGACAAATTAAATAAAAGTTTTATTCTGACGACGAAGCCTGTAAAGGCTACGAAACGTCAATAAATAAATAAAGTTTCGTGCATTAACCCGTAAAAACTAGTTTTATTTAATGAGTGATGTGCGTGAAAACCTAAGAAACAAATATACTATAAGCATTCTTAACCATCTATGTAACCACATGAGTGCAATAAATTGAATTGAATTGAATGTACATTACAAAAGTATTTTCTGCATTTTGCGAGCTCTGAATAAGACGTGGCAGAGTAAATTAAAACATATGTTTAATATTTTCAGTTTAATTTATGAATATTACTACTGAACATGCTTATGATTATTTCTTTAGTTCCACGTTGGTCTCGAAGCAGCACAGCTGTTCCGGGTTCTCGTCGTTCCACAGCTTCCATCTGAACCAGAATTTACCCTGAGGAAGAAAATGTTCATTTAATAAACATAAAATTACAAAAAAAAAACGACGGGACTCCGGGAGTGCCGGCAGAAGTGAAAACTTGAATATTAACGTTGTGCGTTTTTGATATTTTGGAATGGTTAGGGAATAATTTTGCACGAATTGCTTTAATTATCAGTATAAAAGTACTATAATGTATGTGGTAGAATACAATATTTATTTATTGCGCTATCGTACACAAACATGACAATTTATATTACATTAAAAAAGTTTGTCTCTCAGAAAAATCAACTTACATGAATCACGTTTAAGCGCACTTAGCGACATCTATTGTAAAGAAATCAACTTACATGAATCACATTTAAGCGCACCTAGCGACATCTATTGTAAAAAAATGCATTTTCTTCGCAATAAAGCTGCCTCGTGGACGTCCTAGATAGAAACTTATTATTATAATACTATAAAATAAAATATTACTATGTTTCGTCCAATATATTGAAAGTCAACAACCTTTCCAATTTTATTGTGTGTCATGATGCGATCAGCCCACCTGTTTAACCTGACGCGAGTTTAACATTTTTTACCCATACAAAAAAAGTGTACAACGCCGCTAAAGAAGTTTTCATTTCAAAAAATATCTTGTCTGTACTTCTATTATACTTCCGCTAAACAGACTCTAAACGTTAAACAGACTTGAGGAGCTTGATGGCGCAGGTGTATAGTAGGTCCGGCCAGCGACCGTGGAAGTTCCGTAACTTTCGCAATGGTCGGTCATTGGATGGGCGACCAAAAACTATTATCTCGTTCGTCTCAGTTTTTGGGACGGCACGTTAAACCTTTAGTCCCGGCTGCATCTGCAGTCGTTAGGACCCCACAAATCGCACTGGGCCCGCGTGGTGACTTATGGTCTAGTCTCCCGATTTCATCCATAGGAAAGGCCTGTGCCTCAGCAGTGGGGACATTAATAGGCTGATGACGATGATGATGACGTGTTCCCTTTCTCCTACAACTCGGTATCCTTTAAATGAGGTGTGAAGAATTAATATGCAGGCCGGCATTTGGAGGATGGCCGTGGGCCAATCGCCTAACCAGATTGCTTTGGAAAACGCTATTGCTTTCGATTTCATTTTGTTATTTCTAACCGCCGAAATACCTCACGCTCATTTCCTTTAACATTGTTATTACCAATGCAAAAGAAAAAAAAAAAGAGCGCGAGGCATTTGAAAACCTCAGGGGGCTAGAAATAACAAAATGAAATCGTAAGCGATAGCGTTTTCCAAAGCAATCCAGTTAGGCGATTGGCCCCCTGGTGTGGCAGGTAGAACTGCTGTACAAACTATCTTCGCGTCTGGACTCCACCGTCACTTAACATCAGGTGAGGTGGAGTCCCCAGTAGTGGGGACATTAATACGCTCATGATGACGCTTTTTAAACTGGTCTTTTGTTAGGGTTATGCTAGTCTTATGGTCGGGAAAAAAAAATCCACTGGTGTTACGGTTTGCGTCACAGCATTTTTTTGTGTGGGAACGCATCCGTGATGCATTCCCGAACGGGAATGCATCACGGGAATCTTGGTCAAGAAAATTTTGGTAATTTGGAGACTTGAGATTAACGTACAAAGTCCCGAGATTATCGCGACTCGAGATTATTACTGAATAATAAAATCAAAACACATTTTTAAAAGCACCCATCATTACAGTGCGTTGTATAAAGGAGATTGCTCAGCTTCCATACATGTTTGGCCTAAAGACTAATAATCATGAAAAATTGTTTCCTAGATTCGAATTATATATAAATTACTGTAGAAACGAATATTATTGACGGACACCCCTGAGAACTTCTATAAACCATACATATACACTGAACAATTTTGAGGTTATGTTTGCGAATAGGTACATAGGTATTAAAAAATAAAAAAACAAATAAGTTATATAGTAAACTAGGGAAATCAAGCCAAGTACCGAAATTATGTATTAAATTCATTCATAGAGCATGTAGATTAACAGATAGTTGCCTGTTTTTAAAGTTAATGCACAAGAGTAAATTTTCAATCAGGTATCATCTAGCATTTCCGGTTATAATAAGCAAGGTACTATGTGAGAGAAACTGTGTGATGATTATGAAGGAGCCACAGATTAGAGAGATTTTTTAAACTCTCGTTAACCAAAGAAAGCTAAGAGATTTAGGTTATACAGCCATATCTTCAGTAGCTTCATTATTTTTGTTATGTTTACATTATAACCATATTTTAGATTTTTAGTGTCTCACACCTTATAATGTGTTTATGGAGGTGTTTGGCGAATAATGTATGGCAATAGACTTTATGATGTTGCCTACCATCTATATTAATTGTCTTAGTACATTTGCATGTAGTGAAAATGATAATATAGTATGTATTAATAATACAGTGTAATAAAAAAAAATGTTTTCGTTTTATTGATCTTTACAAAATAGGTTTGATTTTATGTTATACTAGCTTTTGCCCGCGACTTCATCCGCGTTATCGTCGTTTTTCGTAAAAAAGTAGCATATGTCCTTCCTCAGGGTTCCGTGGTTTTGATGTGACAGACAGATTAACTTTCGTATTTTAGTAGGGAAATATAATACTGTTAAAAATATCGCAATAAGGAACCGCAGAATATTATTATTATCACTGTGCCCCGAGACCATCAGCGTGTAACTCCTTGTATGTTATTATGTTAATGTATTGGTAATATTGTTTAGATCGCTTTCACATGAGTCTTAAGTACATATAGAATGAAAATACTTCAGCGCAAAGCTTCCGGGTAGACTACGTTGAAATTTGTCCCGTCCGGAACGTGAACATAAAAAATTCTAGGACTGCTAACCCGGGAAAGACCGACATAACTGACCATGTGAAAAACAACTGATACCGAGATCTACTGGTCTGAAAGGTCTGCCCTTGAGCCTTATTTATTGTCATTGCTTAACACACCGATACTGGGAATTGCGTTCTTTTAAATTGGAATGGAAAATTATTTGGTATTATGGGAATTCTGGGAATAAAGATGGTTTCCTGCACCGCAACCTATTAAAATTTGAGCCTCGATTACATTTTGTTGCAACTGGGTTACTTTAAGCCGAGTTCCATTGCAAATTTGTGGTGGTCTTAAATTTCGGAGCAGAATAATCGGAATGCCAATTTTTAAACAAATTTCATGAGAAGGAAGTACGGGCATATTTAAAGAATTTAAAAATTCTATCGGGTAATTAGTGGCTTCTTGTACATCGGCCATTCTATTTATTGAACTATAAACTTTGCTTTCCCCCTGGATATTCAACAGTATTTTATTATTAATCTCAGATGCCTGGTCATTGTGAGGAGTTAAAATGGACCTTTCGCATAGCCAAGAATTGTTCTTATTTAATATATTTGTTACGTCACCGTAAACTGACGATGTAAGATGTTGTTGGGATTGCACTATACAACATAACTCAGGCGTCAGAATAAGTTTTCCTTGGTGTAGCAGTGGATAGGTATCTTTGGTGAAGGTATTTTCTTTAATAATATATCAGAAAATTCACGATCATCCGGGTTATCTACAGTTCTCACTCGCATGTTTATAGTCAAATGCACCGATTGTATATCACGCCACAAATAAGAGCTTTTCAGGCAAGCCCTAACCTCAGCAGCTCGGGTTCCCTTTGGTATTACCGTTAAGGTTTGTCGGAAATCACCACAAAATAAAACTGTGATACCGCCCATGGGTCGATCATTTTGTCTTATATCTCTTAAAGTTCTGTCTACCGCTTCTACTGCTTTTCGATGGGCCATCGTACATTCATCCTATATGATTAAATTACACTTTGAACGAATATTTTTAACGAATACTTTAGCTACCTTACACATAAAATCTAAGTGACTATTTGAACTAAAATATTCTTATAGAATTATAACCAGAAATATATACAACTCACAACAAAAAAGAAATGAAAATAAAGCTGAAACGCGTGTGCAATACTATCTACCAATACCTCCTTCACTTAAAAATAAATACTTATAACTACTTTAATTAATAAAAGTACCTACGCTTAATAATTTTTAATTTGAACGAATATTTAAACACTACCAAAACAACTAATACCTGTTTTACAAAATAACAACAAAAGAAATTCAAATAAACTATTTAAAGACTAAAAGTCGCGCTGATAAGCACGGTTTCGGTCTCCCAGGCGGGGGAGCAGATGAGAAATCCTCATGGATACCCTACAGCCGGCTGCAAGGTTATGTCACACTCGTACTGACTAAAAAACACCCGTAGGGGCTGCCTCTGGCCGGGAAGGCCTCTAAGGCTTCATCGGAAGCGATCGTCCCCCAGGGGGGGAGCGACGCAGAAAACAGATTTAGACAGCTCGCTCTCGGACCTTTGATACCCTACCGCTGCCGCGACTCGTGTCGAACGCGGCAACCATTACACAAAAATAATCCTTATAGCATGATTCAGTATTCACGTGCGACGGCGCGATGGCTTATTTCATGTATAAGTTTGGTGTTTCTATACCGAGTATTATAAACGTAAGAGTAAACAAATATGATCAGAATGCTCCGAACTGCTAAGCTATCGGGAGTTACACGTGTTATTGTGAGTCAACCATAAAAGATAGACATATGCTGTTGCGGGATATTTTTTAGACAATTTTATGTAGAATATTTCCGTCATACATGATTTCTATGTAACTTTAATCATTAAGGCTGCACACGCGACGGAAGCTTAAAAAATGGAGTAACTTCTCCCGTTTTCCCAACATTTCCCTTCACTACTCTGCTCCTATTGATTGTAGCGTGATGAAAAGTATACTATAACCTGCCCAGGAGTATGAAGAATAATTGTACCAAGTTTCGTTAAAATCCGTCGAGTAGTTTTTGTTTCTATAAGGAACATACACACAGACAGACAGACAGACAGACAGACAAAAAATTTACTGATTGCATTTTTGGCATCAGTATCGATCACTAATCACCCCCTGATAGTTATTTTAAAAATATATTTCATGTACAGAATTGACATCTCTACAGATTTATTATAAGTATAGATAAGCACGGTTTCTCAATATCAATTATTTTCTGTCAATAAGGTCGAACGCTCTGAACGCATCGTCAGCCAAATATTGAATGAAGCTCGCTTTCTTTTTTTTTTGTTTCTTCCCAGGCGGGGGAGGGGGTGTGAAATCCTCATGGATACCCTAAAGCCGGCTGTAGAGTTATGTCAGACTCTTACTGACTAAAACACACCCGTGGGGGGTGCCTATGGCCTAAGGGGCCTTACAGGCTTCATCTGATGCGATCAACCCCTGAGAAGGGGATGAAGCAGCGCTGCCTTAGTAAATACTACTGCTAGTGCGCTTAGAGGACGGATGCACCCTGATGTGCATCCGTATCGGTTTGGGACTGAGTGGCTGAAGGTCTCTCAGGATCGGGGGGGCGGGGAAGCTCGCTTTCGGACCTCCCGCCTTTTTATACCTTACCGCGCCGCCACGACCCGTGTCGAGCGCGGCAGCCGTTACACAAAAATAATCCTTAAAGCATGATTCAGTATTCACGTGCGACGGCGCGATGGCTTATTTCATGTATAAGTTTGGTGTTTCTATACCGATTTCTATGATTCTTTTTTTATTGAATAGGTAATAATGTTAACTTTTTTAAATTAGGGATGAGTGAGAGTATTATAAACGTAAGAGTAAACAGATATAATCAGAATACTCCGAACTGCTAAGCTATCAGGAGTTACACGTGTTATTGTGAGTCAACCATAAAAGATAGATATATGCTGTTGCGTGATATTTTTTAGACAATTTTATGTAGAATATTTCCGTCATACATGATTTCTATGTAACTTTAACCATTAAGGCTCCACACGCGACGGAAGCTTAAAAAATGGAGTAACTTCTCCCGTTTTCCCAACATTTCCCTTCACTACTCTGCTCCTATTGATTGTAGCGTGATGAAAAGTATACTATAACCTGCCCAGGAGTATGAAGAATAATTGTACCAAGTTTCGTTAAAATCCGTTGAGTAGTTTTTGTTTCTATAAGGAACAAACACACAGACAGACAGACAGACAGACAAAAATTTTACTGATTGCATTTTTGGCATCAGTATCGATCACTTATCACCCCCTGATAGTTATTTTGAAAATATATTTCATGTACAGAATTGACCTCTCTACAGATTTATTATAAGTAATAGATAAACAACTTCGATCAGTCTTTGGCTGAATGTTACTACACCCATAGCCATGAAAGATGATTCTTATGTTTTTCAAACCGGTAAAATTAAAAGTCCTTTTTAAAATGAATGTATTATACAAAGGTGTCCGTTAAAATCTAATGACTGTAAAATAAAGTATAAATTACGCCAAGAATTACCGTATATGTCAATATTTTTTGGGCATTTGGGCCAATTTGAGCAATCTCCTTTGCATACTCGTCGTTTCGCTTTTCTTAGTAACTTACAGCGCTTGATATCTTCTCTGGGTTAATATAATGCCATGCCGTTAATATATGTATATTATTACATTATTGTATACCTATATAGAGTTTGCGTTCTTTTTTTATCTATTTTGGACACAGTGAAGACTGTGTCAAACGTTGGTGCGTTCCGTTGCCTCGTGAATCAGGTAGTCGAGAGTTTGAACCTTTCCCGTATCTCTCTGTCGGTCATCAGCCCCTCTAGCATGACCACCGAAACGGGATATGTTATAGCGATATATCGACATTAACTGTCAGACTACTGTCAAACTCCATAGTAGTCTGACTTAATGCCGATATATCGCTTTATCATATCCCGTTTCAGTGGTCATGCTAGAGGGGCAGGGGGCCAATGGCTATCGCTATCGATTTTATTTTTTTCTGACCGTCGATGGTTTTTAAATGCCTCGCACTTTTTTTTCCTCTTTTGCAATTGTAATAGCAACATTAAAAAAATCAGCGCGAGTTAGGCTAAAGGACAAAGTCCACTGCCAGAATAAATTAAAAAAAAAAACTGAGTTATTTGAAAACTTTTGGCGGTCAGAAATAACAAAATGATATCGTTAGCGTTAGCATCGCGTATCCCATAGTAATCCCGTTAGGGGATTGGGCCCCAGGAGTTTTTGAACTGAAACTTCTTTAGGCACGCTTGACTTGGGGGGTAAATTGGAAAATGTGTTACGATTTTTGCGTTACGATTAGTGTCACCTATATAAAGTATATACATATATAGAACGAAAGAAGATAACGGACCTAGCGCGCATTGTTGGGTGATAATAGACCCAGTGCGGATTGGAGGGTGATAACGGACCTAGTGCGGATTGGTGGGTGATAACGGACCCAGCGCGGATTGGTGGGTGATACCGGACCCAGCGCGGATTGGTGCTTCTTTTCTATCAACAAATCTTCAGGTTAAGTTTATGATTTTTAGATCATTGGAGCTAAAGAAGTTTCACTTCAGTCGTGTGGTTATAAGCACCACGCCTTTTTTCCCAGTCTGAGTATCAGTGGCGTAGCATAGGTCACTAGCACCTGATGCGGATTCCAAATTTGCCGCCCTCTTATTTATGCAATCCATTATAAAAAAAATTGAGGCATGGTAAAAAGAGTACTTTTATTGAATAACACTAACCTAAGAGTGAAATTAACATTTTTGACATAGAGGTAGACTATCACAATATCACTTAGAAAAATTACAGAGAAAACCTTGCGCTTGCATCACCCATGCATAGAACCTGCATAGGTACCTGGTAACAACAACAAAAAAATGACGAAAAAAAACTGAAAGAAATTAACTTTTTTTTATATTTTAATTTTTTTTTCTCTATCTGCCACCTCCGCAGCGCCGCCCCCGGCAAAGTGCCGCCCGGTGCGGACCGCACCCCCCGCCCCCCCCATGCTACGCCACTGCTGAGTATATCGTATATATTGAAAAAAACCTCAGTTATGTTAAGAACCTTACGTTTGGCAGTTTTTTTCCAACGTAAAGTGAGTAGGTCAGCGTGTTCTGCGTCCCGACTACCGTCGGGCAAGTGGCGTGCTGACAGCCGTCCGCAATGCCTACTGTCGCAAAGGGGGCCTCTGTGGGGTCATCGGCCCAATACACGGCTGTCTTCAGCTTCGAGGTGGCAAAATCTGGAATAAGACATGGTGATTGGTAAGTTGGTTTGGTTGAGGAGCTCGATGGCGCAGGTGGCTAGCGCGTTCTGCTGCGATCGTTGAAGTTAAGCAACTTTCGCAGTGGTCGGTCATTGGATGGGTGACCAAAAATTTACTATCTCGAGCTCCTCCGTGCTTCGGAAGGCACGTTGGTCCCGGCTGCATTTGCAGTCGTTAGCACCCACCAATCCGTGGGCCCGCGTGGTGGGCCATGGCCCAATCTCCCTATTCCATCCATAGGGAAGGCCTGTGCCCCAGCAGTGGGGACATTAATAGGCTGATGATGATGATGATGATTGGTAAGTGCCTTCAGCCCTGGGAGTAATGGCTGGTTTACATTATCTTATGGCTGGTTTACATTCTTCTATTACAATACCCAGTATATTGCACAAAATTTTGCGTATTGCAACATTGTTGCTCGTCCATCCTTTTTTTATACGCAGGCAAAAAATACTATTTACAGACGACGGCGCCTGAAAGAGGCACACCGCCGAACGGACCTCACACCTGGCTCCCGCAAGCCTTACGAGCCCTAGCAGTGGCTGCCCACTGAGGACCCCGTAACCCTTACGGGCGCTTTACGGCATAATATCCGCTAAAAAACCCTGCGAACACCCTCTAAGCTGCTTAGCGCGAAGCCGCGGGATCCCCGTTTAGGGATTCTTCCGCGTCTAGCAGCCTCCCGGCCTTGCCGGGGCTCCGCGGCAGGGGTCTCCCGGGGTATCGCGGGAACCCCGCAGACGTGCGCTGTTGCTCGTCCATCCTGGTGACTAAATGGCACCCTACAGGAAAAAGTGTAAACAGCCACACATACTGGAATGGCACAAACTCTACTAAATCACTCGCCCGCATTACTTTACTAAGTGTCGCCGCACACGGGCCACACGCCTCAGCCACAAACGCCGCCACTAGAAGCTAGAAGCGGCTACTAAAGTGGCTGAAGCGCGCGACAGCGGCCGACTGAGGTAAGGGAGAGAAGGGTGGGGAATCTCGCAAGTGACGTGTGGCGGCGTTTTGTATCGGCGCATTAACTGGCCGGTGCGGGGCACAAGAAGCGAGCAACGCCGATTTGTAGCGTGTGGCGGCCACCGGCGTACCGTGCGTGGCGAGTCCATATAAACTGTATGAACACTACAAGAAATATGCCGGAGGCGGCGTTTTGTAGTTGTGGTCGGTGGCCCGTGTGCGGCGACGTTAAAACGCATCCGCGGGGGGATGCCTATGGCCATAAGTGCCTCACAGGTTTCATCTTATGCGATCAACCCCTGAGAAGGGGATGATGCAGTCCCTCTTCAATAGAGGTTTAAATAGAGCGTCATTGCTGATGTCCATGGGCGACGGTGACCTTTTAACATCTGTACCCCTAGCGCGAACCATTATCGAATTCGAATAGTTTGCGAATCCAAAATGTCATTGTCAAATTTTGTATGGAAACTTGGACATCAGCGCCAAAACGAGAACTAATAATCAGTACACATTTGACAATGACATTTCGGACTCGCAAAATATTTGAATTCGATATTAGTTCGTGCTAGGGGTACAAGTGGCCTCTCCGCTGGTCTGGTCGTATAAAATGTATGAAAACTACAACAAATATGCCGGTGGCGGCGTTTTGTGGTTGTGGTCGGTGGCCCGTGTGCGGCGATACTAAACCATTCTACTAAACCAGCCATAATGGAGAGGTAGGGCATAGCGGATTTGCCAATCGGATTGGAGTGCACGACTGGGGAAGTAACCTCCACCTTGCAGATGCAGTAGAATAACACTACCTTTTGGTGGTGTTGTGTTACTGTCGGTGAGTAAGTTCCGGGAGTACGCAGGGAGAGGAATGGGTCAGGATAGTTAACGGTACGATAGTTATTTTTTGGTATCGCAAGCGTCTATAGGTTATGGTGGCCGCTTACCATCAGGGGGGGGGGGGGGGGGATTGCGAGGATAGCGACATATTCTGTATTTACCAATAGAGTAGTTATAAGTCATCATCATCATCATCAGCATATTTCCTATGGACGGAATAGGGAGATTAGGCCATGACCCACTACGCGGGCACAGTGCGAATTGGCGGGTGCTAGCTCGAGATAGAAGATTTTTGTCACCCATCCAATGACCGACCACTGCGAAAGTTGCTTAACTTCAACGATCGTCGACTACGAGCTCCTATATATAAGTAAGGAGTCCATTTCTGAAGATGGACGATGCGATGATAAGAGAACCCGCAAAGCCTGACTAACCTAACCCATATCAAAGGAATAGGTATTCAATTTTCCATTAAGATATGCAATACACATATGGTTTATGTATGACAGTCTGGACCTGGTGACCTGTTAGTACAGGTAGCTATTCGTAGTTGCATTATACGGGCACCAGTCTCCCACATAATAGGTTTATGTATTTGTATTGATTAAGCTAATATCAATACAAATACATAAAACTATTAAATGGTATATTATTATCATTATACCCTATAACAAATTCGGAAAAGTAGACTATCAGGGACTTGAGGATTGCTCTCTTATTGGTCAAGTGACTGACTTACTAAAGCCACTATTTCTACGCGACCAAAGAAATTTGGTGATTCATTTCTTTGTCGCAATATCCGCACATGAAATGCTTTGCCAGCTCACGTGTCCCTTTAACCCGGAATCGTTTAAAAGAGGTGTGAAGAAGTAATATGCACTGCTGTACCAGCTATCTTCGCGTCTGGACTCCACCGCCACTTAACATCAGGTGAGGTGGAGTCATTTGTCAGACCTATTTATAAAAAAAACTTACTCGGCGTGAAATCGAACTCCAGGGAGGCGTTGCGTCCCTTCTTGAGCACGCAGGGAGACTTCCGGCACGGGGTGATCCGGAGTTCCGTAATCGTGCACGGGTCTTGAGACACTGGAAGAGGAAATCACCATTATACAGGTTAGTAAACCAATACACTGTCTAAATATGTTCACTGTTCGCCTTATTTAAAAAATGTGGACTAAAGTTAAGCTCGACTTAGGAATGCTATCTTTGTCTCATCATTATCATCATCAGCCTATTAATGTTATAGATATTAACGGGATTGTTACCATGTACCTTGTTTACCTTCCTTGTGAAATCCGGTGCTTCGTATGTGTAAAAACCGCAAAAATCAAAAAAGTGTCGTTCCGCGATCTGATACTGTGAGTATTGTGTGCCGGGAACAAATGCGAGTGAATAGTGAGAATGTGACCAGTGGTAGGGGCATCGAACGCAGTAAAAGACGACGTCAGAGGGTAGACCGATATGTCTGCCAATAACATCTACACGCAATTACTTCAGTTACTCCGGGATCATGGCGCTTGCAACAGTGCCGAAATATCGGAGACTCATAAAAACAAGGTACATGGTAACAATCCCGTTAATATCTATAATATTAGTGACCATGAAAGTTTAAAACAATATATTAATGTACCCACTGCTGGGGCACAGGCCTTCCCTTTGGATGGAATAGGGAGTTTGGGCCATGATCCGCACTGACGACTGCAGATGCAGCCGGTACCAACGGCTTAACGTGCCTTCCGAAGCACGGAGGAGATCGAAAGTTGCTTAACTTCAACGATCGCAGCCGAACGCGCTAACCACTTGCGCCATGGATCTCGTGTTTGTCTACTTTTTGGCAAATACTAGCGATCCGAACAGTGATAAACGAACGGGTTTGTGCTCTACCAGACCTCTGCCCTTTTTTTATAACGCAGGTAAAAAATCTTTTTACAGACGACGGCGCCTTTAAGAGGCACACCTCCGAACGGACCTCACACCTGGCTCCCGCAAGTCTTACGGACCTCCCAGTGGCTACCCACCGAGGAACCCGCAACTCTTTCGGGCGTTTTACAGCATAATATCCGCTAAAAAGGTCCTGCCTTCTACACTGCTTAGTGCGGAGCCGCAGGGTCCCCGTTAGGGATTCTACTACGGCTCCGCCCCCAGCAGCTTCCCGGCCTCGCCGGGGCTCCACGGCAGGGGTCTCCCGCGGTACCAGACCTCTGGCCTGCTTATTTTACTTACAGTAATCGACGGAGTTTTTGGCGGAATTTCATCGAGTGTGGTTGGCGTCTTATTTTAATTATTCTTAAATTCGTTCATAGTGGATATTGTGAAATAAAATTGGTGTGGTTTTGTGTAACAACTGTCTGCGTAACTGAACTAACTAGTAGTAACTGACTTAGTAGAATCGTCAAAATATACGCTATTCCGGTCAAGTGGACGTGAGAATTTTATTGTAGTATTGACTACCTCACAGAAGCTTATCGAAAAAGCCAGCTCGATACATTTCGTGCCAAACACTTCAAGAAACATTAGAATGCATCACACCGACATTCTAATGTAAAAAGAAAAACAGAATAATTTAACTTATGACTAGGCTGTATGGGCATTGCTCCCCTTGCCTTCCTTGAAAAGGGAGAATTTAACAATAAAAAAAAACAGTAATCGACATTTTGGTAATTTTTATCATTTTTGCAAAATTTACATCCCATAAAGATAATCTATACGTAAAAATTGTATCTACAAGGTTTTTCTTATTAAAACCATGTATTTTATTTAACATAAAATACAGTACTTTCACCTAAATGTTACTTGTGCTAAATAGGTTGACGATTATGCAGTACCGGTTACGTTTACTGTATATTCATTTAGCACGTAACTTTTAACAGTATTTTAATGTTAATGTTTAGTCACACTTAATATAAATACTATTTGTATTTATACTGTATGACACAGTAATCAAAATGCAGGTAAACAATTAATGTATATTTAATCATTATGTAATGAAATGTGTTCTTCATGAATCATCTCTGTAGTCATTTTTCAATTTGACGACTCTATAAATAATAAAACAGGGAGAAAAAACAGCCCTTGCTGAGTTTCTTGCCGGTGAGTGAACTGAATAAATTATTTTGATTATGATTATGATAGTACTTATCATTATTGCATTTGAATGGAGCTAGAATAACAAAGAGCTACACTTGCGACGCTAAAACTAAACTCAGTATTCAGCATTACTGCATTTCACACACACACTTCACACATTCACATTCACACAGCACACTTCAAAAATGACACACTAAACAGCCAAATCCTCCATATAATGCGATTCAACTAAGAATAGGACCGACTGGGCGCCATATTGTGATGTCATAGCTGTCAATTCAAACCAAATAGGTAGAGTGAGCAAAAAAAAGTTTTTATTTAATAAAACTTATTTACTAAGATTAAATGAGAAAAAGCATAAGATTTTTCTAATAACATTTATTTACTAAGATTGAGAAAAAAAACTACCGATTTTTAATAATATTTATTTATTAACACTGTGAGAAAAAAACATTAATCAGAATCTAGCTCTTCTATTCCGCTTATCACTGCATTACCGCTGGAGTAGTTATGAATAATCATGCACTATTACTAGGTCACATACGAACATGCATCCTTTATGTAAATGAAAGTTTGAAATCGAGTTTCTGAATGCAACTTAAAGTGACATTTGGTTGAAGATTTAGGTTATCAACCATTCATGACCAAAGCTCAATAAGTGAAATAAAAATATCAACCGATATTAATTATCAATATTTGTTATTGTTTGTTTACAAATGTTTGGTTTTTATTCTTGAATTAGCGGAGTGCTAAAAAAGGGTTCCAAGTTTTTTTTTGCAAACATTACTTTTCAACCGACATTTGACAGATAGAGGTCATTGGCTTTCCTATTCTTAGTTGAATTGCATTAAACATATTTAAATTGCTGTGAACAAATAAGTCAAGACCCATATCTTGACATGTTCTTCACGTCAAAGGGGCTGACTCCAATTTATCGACACTGCAATACCGATAAAGGAGATTGCTCAAATTGGCCCAAATGTACAAAAAATATTGACATATACGGTAATTCTTGGAGTAATTCATACTTTATTTTGCAGTCATTAGATTTTAACGGACACCTTTGTATAATATATTCATTTTAAAAAGGACTTTTAATTTTACCGGTTTAGAAAACATACGAAATATTTTTAATGGCTATGGGTGTAGTAACATTCAGCCAAAGACTGATCGAAGTTATAAAATATAATTATATTTTTTTTTATTACACTGTGGTATTAATATCCACAACTATCACCTAACGAGATTGCTATGGCTATCGCTATGATAAATACCTCGCGCTCGTTTTTTCCTTCTTTTGCATTGGTAATAGCAATATTAAAGAAAATAAGCGTGATGTATTTGAAAACCTTCGGCGGTGAGAAATAACAAAGTGAGAAATAACAAAATAATTCTATGGATGCCACAAGGCTTTTTATAGGTATAATTCCGTCTCATTGGAAACAAAGATTTTAATGAAGTTTAATAAATTATCTTTAAAACAACATTATTAAATTAATTACAATAAACAACATGTTAGTTTCTGCGGTCAAAGACTTCGACTACCGGCAGATATTGCGAGGTGAAAGGTTATCTTCATATTCCTTTGACATCATATGTTGCGTTTTCCTCACAATATTTGATAGATGATTCTTTTATTGTCACAGTTACACCTAATGAAGTAAAACATTTCATTATTGAGATTTAAAAATAATCATTTTTTTTTACTTGTTGTTTATCTAGGAGAATTAGTTTGATTATATTGTGAGTAGTATAAGAGGAGCTCGTTGGCGCATGGGGCTAGCGCGTTCGGCTGCGATCGTTGAAGTTAAGCAACTTTCGCAGTGGTCGGTCATTGGATGGGTGACCAAAAATTTATTACTATCTCGAGCTCCTCCGTGCTTCGGAAGGCACGTTAAGCCGTTGGTCCCGGCTGCATTTGCAGTCGTTAGCACCCACCAATCCGCACTGGGCCCGGGTGGTGGGTCATGGCCCAATCTCCCTATTCCATCCATAGGGAAGGCCTGTGCCCCAGCAGTGGGGACATTAATAGGCTGATGATGATGATGATGATGATATTGTGAGTAGTGAGTTTCATTTTCACACAGCTATGTTTAAAAATATAATCAAAATAGGGTATTTAAAGTTTTAGAAAACGATCTCAGAATGGATCAGAGTTGGAAAAGATAGAGGAAAATGGAAATTTTTAGAGGAGGCCTATGTCGAAAGACAAGCTGTGTCAGATAATAATGACTCGAACGCTGATAATTTAGAATAGAAACAAATATATATACAGTTAATAAGATTAAGAAAATGTTTCAAACTTTAACAGCAATAAAGGCTTATTTTATTTTATTTTATTTTTATTTTTATTTAGAAAACGATCTCACGTTATTGACTAATGTTTATGGAGTCCGTAAAAGTGGATATTCATCATTCTGTTGTGTATTTAAGTAAAAATAACCAAACCAAAAACTCCATTTTCAAGTTGCCGCGAAAACGTTTCTCTGGACAATATGGCTTCTTACTAGTGTGTGACGTCACACGACTGTTATTAAAACGTCAAACGATACAATGTAATGTCACTTTAACCGGAAGTTTACTTGCTTGTGACGTCATTTTAGGCTCCGCCAATCCCTAGCGTTTTGGGTCACGTGACAATAGATAAGAAAACTATTATCTTTTTCGTTAGTTTTTAGTAAAATTATGATTTTTTTTTTGTAAAAATAGTAAAAACCTCTGCCAATATTCATTCTAAACACGGATGCTAACAAATGGCACTTTATTTTGAATACTGTATTTGACAGTGTTATCCTTCAAATACATTCCATCTTTTAAATCCTTTGAACTACCAGATTTTTTTACATACACTATTTTTTTTAAAACTACTTTAATTATATTTGACTTCTTTGATACTACTTCTGTTCTTGAACTGGTACAATTCCTTAAACTTGAAATTCAAACTATATTTAATGACAGTCTCTCTTATTCATTCTTTAAAGATCATGATAAGCACACAC